CGTCACGCGTTCTTAGCGCAGTTGAATCACCTTGCCACACCAGAGATCCAGACAATTAGCACACCTGCTGCTGACGCTCCTTTTGTTGATGAAGGGGCTCTGTTGCGGAAGAAGTTCCCACGCTGGTGTTGGAATCAGAACATTCTCGACTTTTCATGGAAGGCATCGCAAGATGTTGATGTCTCACCTCCTTGGTTCCGCATTCACTAAATCGCTTGCATGGCGAGTTGGGGCGGCTTTTTGCACATCATACATGGAGCTGGCTTTTCTCTTCCACAAACTTGGTTTTTCACTTGAAGCTTGCACTGGAGACAACATTACTTATCGTGACTTGGCCTTTTGGTTGCGACGGATGTTCGTATACATTGGCAAGTTGGAATCTCAAATTGTTTTCCCAGGACGGACTTGCTTACAAACGCGCAAGTCGGAAGGTCGCGCCTTTCCGCAAGGTGCCCTTCTGGGTGCAGTCCCTTTTTTTTCGGGTGAGGAGCTCACTGGTCTGGCCCGCCTTATGGACAGTGGATGTTCGAAAACTAATATTTCATCGTGGGAGATCCCCCTGCACTCTCCCCCTTGAGACTGTGGTTGTTCGTGTGCTCGTAGTTAGTTTTGTTCTTTCTCACATTGTACATCATGCGCTGTCTGACCATGCGTGTCAGCAGTGCCGCGGACCTCCGTCCTAGCAGGGGACATCGTCAGGACCGGCTGCGAGTGGGGTGATGAAGAAGTTCTTCAATCGGAGGGGACTCGTTCATCGCGCTAGCCGGTCCTTTGAGGTTTGAAGACGTTGAAAGGGATGAAAGCGTGGTCTATTTAGGGGAGGATGCAGCCCTCTTCTGAGTTGTGAAGTTGGGGAGAAAGTGGTACTGTAGCTTCCATGCCTTCAGGGTTGCGCCTCCGACTCAGCCAATTGCTGCCGAAGCCGCCTCCGCTGAGGTTTCTCCTGGCCTCATCCGATGCTCACTTTCGGTGGCATGAAGGATGTGAGAGAACACCCCAAATGCATGGAGCCGACAACGGACACGCGTCCGTTCATGAGCTGAGCCAGGAGCATATGGCAACGATTCATGTCAACCTAGTCAATCAACTTTTAAACTTCTGTCGCAAAATAGATTCCTTTTACATCAATCCACACGCCTTGCAAAAGTGCCACCAGGTTGACATTGTGTAGTTTAGGTTGGCCACAACCACCAGCCTGCTTATAGGTACTGCTATTCACTTGTTGCTCGTTAGGTGGTTGCAGTTTTCTCAGCAAGTCATATTGACGTACAATTCGATTGGCCTTAGAACGGATGGTTTTTTTCTTCGGTGCATTGTCTGAATTGTGGCGTTTCTCAGAGTCAGCTTCCCACGGCCCACGCCGAAGCAATGGTGGGCTGGCGAGCTCACATCCCCTAAAGATTTCCATAGCAAGGCGGCACGTTGCTCAATGAAACTGGATTAAGCATTTCTGCGGACGGGGTAGTTTGATAGGCTGGTTCAATGGTTGGCCTGGTTGGTCTACAAGAGTTCTTCTGCACAACTGATGGGCGCCGCGTGCCAGAAACACGAGCCATGTGGCGGCCACAGGCAACAGAAACAGGATGCAAAACTGGTGGAAAGGACACAGGAGACCACATGCCAGGCTTGGCTGATGCACATTGTATTGCTCCTTAATTGTGTCCTTCATGGGGCCGGCAGTGGTGTCATAGTGGCAATCCTGCTTGATGGGGATGCTTATGCCTTACACTTCCTGAAATAAAAGTGGAAAACCAACGATTTTGTAAATTAAGTGGTTATGGAGGGGACTTTGCTTGCTCATTAACCGTTTTACCAACATGGCCGCACATCCGCATTGTCAAGACCAGCATCATGCACATCGCACATGATGTGGAGAATCATGGAAAGTTACCTGCCATGATTCCATGCCTATATGGCTCATATACATACCAGCCATGATAAGGTTGAAATGAACACCACTGCTGCACCATGCGTAGATTCACGCTTAGGTGGCAGATGAGATTGTTGTGTTGGGACGATGGGTTGCTAGCTGCATCGTGTGGCAATACAGATGCATTAAAGAAGTTCATTGAAGTATAGAGAGGGGGGAAGAGAGTGAGTGAGAGAGTAGGAGTGGGAGGCGACATCGAGTTGGCAAATGGAGAGCCTTTGATTGAGCCTGTCAAGACATGTTTTTTCTCAGTGTGCAGTAGCTCGAGAGGGCGTCATGCCGGCTGGGCATCCTATCCATCCTGCTGGGCGTCATGCCTGTCCTTGAGATCCGTGGGACAGACCTACTGTAACTGAACTGAAGCGGACAATTCATCATCACAGCTCGAGGATAGTGGTACCATATCCGTTTTGTTTTAGGTTGGTTATCATGAGGAAGGCAATTTCATGGCAATTGCTCAGGTTGAGGGTAGCCCATTTGCGAGCTGTGACATGTAGGATGAAGGTTTGAAGGGTTTCAGTATGTAGCTTGCTTTGTGTGTCGGTCTTGTTTCTGTGACGCTCACAATCGACATTTCAGGTGCATTGCTTTCCCCCAATTGTCCAGCTGGTTCTGCAAATGTGGAAAAATACTGTCCATGTTCGGCCAAAGATCACGTGAGACGAACGACTTTTTGAAGGCTTCGAAGGATGTTGGCAAATCCCATGTTCATGTCCCTGGGCATTGAGATGCTCGAAGGCTTGGATGTACAGACGATCTGGCGAGTTTTCAAAGATGCACAGCGATTGGCCCGTTTTTGGACGGGCACAGAGGCTGGTGACTAGGCTGGTGGTAGGCTCAAATGAAGAGCACAAACAAAGAAATCAGTTGCAGATTGCATGTGCTTTTCTCTTTCTCCATAGCATGCCCGACCATTTTGGCGGGTCACAGTTCGAACGCTGAGAAGTGTGGGGAACTTCGAGACCTTCGGAGACGTAAGGGTCTAACTCTGAGAGCCTCGAGGGGAGACCCAGCGGTGTTCGCCTCCGAACCTACGAAATAGGTGCTCGTGACGTGAAGAACTTTCGTAGCCGTAGACAGATTGAGGATTGGGGAAGCGTTAGAAAGAATGACCCAATGGGTGGTACAGCTGAAGTGACTGGTGTCAGCTATGCGAGCGCCTTTGTGCTTCTATCGCATAGCCATCAAACGGCCTGCGTGCTGATCGGAATTGTGCACGCCAGTGGCGTCCTTTTCAGTTCCGTCCCCGTGCGCCCCCTGCGCTTGTTACAAACAACTAGCAGTAACAATGTTCGCTACTAGGAACAAGTGCCACGCTAGTAGTAACAAGTGCCTTACTAGTAGTAACAAGAAGCTACTAGGAACAAGTGCCACGCTAGTAGTAACAAGTGCCT